TTGCAAAAGCCTTTAAAGAGAACTAGTGATAGCAGGGTTCGCGGTCTGAGTTGGTTTGCTCGCCTGTTTAGTCTTTCCACCCCTTTTAGCATGGACTTCCTCTTCACTCCGAACAAAGTCTGTAGCACGGTAGAGAGCGTCTTGGATAGTCGTTGATGGGTTGATAGTCAACTCTTGCCAGAATGGAGACGGGCATCGGAGCGCTCCTCTCAAAACTTCTAGCGTGGACATGTTGCTGATATCGTCCAACTTTGACAACGTATGTTTGAACTTCGTCATGAAAGACCGTAGACTCTCATTCTCGCCCTGTCGATTTGTCCACAACTCAGCGTCATAGATTCTTCGTTCCGTGAAGATGTTGTAATACTGCACAAACATCTCGAAGAGTTGGTGGAAGGTATGAACTGAATTCTTCTCCAACTTGTAGAACCATTGAAGGGCATGACCTTGTAGAACCATTGAAGGGCAGACCTTTGAGGCTTTTGACAAAAATCTTGCACTAGCCGATGTCCTTTTCGGCTTCCCTAAAGTCCGCTCTCCCTAGAGCCACCCCGAACTCCATCAGATGGTCCGAAGGGTCTGTTGTTCCTTCGTAGATTGGCAATTTGATTCTTCCGGGATCAGAGATTTTTGTCCTTGCGATCCGTTCACTGAAGGGTGTATTCCGTGCCTTCTCGAGCACATGGGCGATTTCAGGAGTCTTTCCTGCGCCACGGTGTATCTGCGTTTGGGTGGTCTTGAGGTCTGAGATAACTCACTCCATCTGGGCTCGTATCTCACTGATTTCTGCATTCCGAAATCGTTTTAGCGCCCTACGCTCTTGCTCCCTCTTGTAACGCTCAGCTACGGAGGGTCCGCATTCGTCGACACTGTGTAGTCGTTGTACTCCAAAGTGCCTTGCAAAGTTTTCGTCCGAGACAACGACGATATGTTTTGACTGTCTGGAGCACGTGCTTCCCTTGGGTTACCACTCGCATCCTCCCTCCGTGCATGCCTTCGAGAAGCTGGTTGATCCTCGTCCAAGATCTCCTCGAACCGTTCGGGAGTTATGTCATATTCTCATCGTGGCGGTGGTGGCGGCAAGTCGCCTGGATTCCTCCGAGCAGTACGAGGTGTTGAGAAGTTGAGGCGATGCGGGTCGAAGCGCCCCCTGAGTCTTATGGTGTCGGGTCTTTCGCGCTTTCTTCGCGAAAGAGCTTTCAACTCGTTCGTAGTTGCCTCGTTGAACTTCTTTTGCTCCTCTAATTCTCTGAGGAGCGTTTTCAGCATCAGTTTGACCTCAGTTATGTCTCCTGGGTTAGCAGCGATGTAGGTAACGGGAACTTCGACGGAGCTCTCCCTCTCTTGGTTGGGTCTGTGAGACGAAGACTCCTCGCTGCCACTGCTTGATTTATTTTCTTCGCCGCTCATCTTCTTAGATCTGGTGTGTAACGTAGCTTTTTGTCTGAGAAAGTCTCTAAGGTCCCCTTAGACGGCGCCAAATTGTGGAGGTCAATACCAGCACAATTAGATTTGTAAGGGTTTCGTGAGGAAACAGAGATTTCTAGGTTAAGCTATGAAAGAAACGATGAGCAAAGAGAAGCGTTTGTTATTGATGTATATATTTTTGTGAATAAAATTGCGGATCCCTTTTACAAAGGTTGTACATTGATATATATAGCTCCCTAAATCGGCTCAATTTTTTCGTAAAAGATAATGCTAACTTTCCTAAGTCTTCGCAGATTCCTTTTTCTTTATGTCGGTTGCGTCGAAGTGGGCTTCGTAATTGGATTGGGCTTTAGCACAGAGAACCTTCTGGCCTTTGTCGCTACTCTGGCAGGTCTTTGGTGGTCAGTGTCATTGTTGGCACTGTGACATTGGTGGCACTGTGACATCGCTGGCACTGTGACATCGCTGGCACTGTGACATCGCTGGCAGTGTGACATCGCTGGTAGTGTGACATCGCTTGCACTGTGACATCGCTGGCAGTGTGACCTCGCTGGCGCTGTGTCCCCGTTGGCTCTGTGGAGGCACCGTGACCTCGCTGGCACTGTGACCTCCATGGCACTGTGTCCTCGCTGGCTATGTGACTTCCTTGGCACTGCACTTATGACTTCTGCTGCGAGTAGAGAGGACCCAGAAGGCTCTCTTCTGGGACGGAGAAGACTTAGGAAAGCAGAAAGACTTCAACTTCTTGTTAGAAAATGACTTGGAAGAATCATATAATATATGTGCGTTAATGCGATTTCGTGTCTATGCACTGTGCTTGCTTAACTTTGGACTTCAACGTTGAGCAGGTGAAATCCGACCCCAACCGACTTC